AGACCTACATCAAGTCGTGATCAGTCAAATGATTCACGGGCCCTGCGGGCCGTGCAATCCTTTCTCTCCCTGTATGGATCGAGAGAAAAAAATATGCACGAAGAAATATCCGCGAGCATTAAGCAAAGAGACACACACAGGACATGACGGATACCCCAAATATCGCCGAAGATCACCGGCCGACGGCGGTTTTACCGTCACGCTGAAGCGGACCTCGGGAGATATCAAGGTCGACAATTCCTGGATTGTACCTTACTGTCCACTCCTGTCGAAGATGTTCAAAGCCCACATCAATGTAGAATACTGCAATTCCATCAAGTCCATCAAGTACATCTGCAAGTATATTACGAAAGGGACGGATTTAGCCATGTTCGGACTCTCGAATATCGATCGTAATGACGAAATAGCGCAATATCAACTCGGGAGGTACATTTGCTCCAATGAAGCTATCTGGCGGATTTTGAGCTTCCCGATCCATGAGCGGTACCCAACCGTGGTGCACCTCAGTGTCCATTTGGAAAACGGACAAAGGGTTTACTACACGGAAGAAAATATTCATGAACGCATCCAAGAAGCTCCGAAAACCACATTGACGGCATTTTTTGCTCTCTGTGCCCAGGATGATTTCGCTCGACAACTCCTATATGTTGAAGTACCCAAATATTACACGTTCTGCACCCAGAAAAAGATTTTCCAGAGACGGAAAAGAGGTACCCGACTGCCCGGCCAGGCTGTTCTTGCTTCTGACGCTCTAGGGCGCGTATATACCGTGCACCCTAACAACGCGGAATGCTTCTATCTTCGTATGTTGCTCCACAACATTCGAGGGCCCACTTCATTCCAAGCCTTGAAAACGGTGGATGGAACTCTGTTTGACACGTATCGTCAAACCTGCCATCATTTGGGATTATTAGAAGATGATCGACAATGGGAGCGAACGATGAATGAGGCACAACCAACGACGTTCCCAAGCCAGATGAGAAATTTGGTCGCCATAATTCTCACATGTTGTAATCCTTCCGACCCCCCTGGCTTATGGGAAAAGTTCAAAGATCCAATGACCGAAGATATATTATTCCAAGTGAGGAGGCAAACGACGCTTCCAGATTTAAGTTTTTCTCCTGAGATGTATAACCGCGCGCTGATACTTCTGGAAGATTTATGTTTGTTAATGACAAACAAGACTCTCGACAAGTTGGGCCTCCGATCTCCCCAGAGAGATTCTAATGGCTTCCTGGATGCAGAGTTTCTGCGAGAAACAAGTTACGATATCGATGCGCTCGAAAACCATGTCGAAAGCACTAAACCATTGATGAATAGAGATCAGAGAAACGCCTACGACCTCATCATGAGCAAGCTACAAACCAATCAGCCAGGAATTATATTCCTCGATGCGCCCGGGGGAACTGGAAAAACATTCCTCACTAACCTGCTCTTGGCTGAGATTCGGAGCAAAGGATGCTTGGCATTAGCAATGGCTTCATCAGGAATCGCCGCGACATTACTACATGGAGGTCGAACCGCTCATGCCACACTGAAGCTTCCCTTGGATATAGATAAACGAGATGCGCCCGTATGCAACATCAGCAAACGGAGCGCCATGGCGAAAGTTCTGCAGTCGTGTAAACTAATTGTTTGGGACGAATGCACGATGGCCCACAAAAAATCACTTGAAGCGCTCCACAGAACCTTACAAGACAATCAGAAGTAATCATTCACTCATGGGAGGACTGCTATTACTCCTTCGCGGCGATTTTCGACAAACTCTGCCAGTGATCCCGAGAGCGACCCCCGCTGACGAAATCAATGCCTGTCTCAGATCATCCGTTCTCTGGCGCAACGTTGAGATCGTTTCTTTGTCGCAAAACATGAGAATCACTTCGAACGAATCAGTCGCTGAAGGATTCGCTGCGAAACTACTACAAATAGGCGACGGAACATGGCCACTTGATGCCAATGGATACATAAAGCTCAACTCCGACGTCTGTCAATTGGTCGACACATTGCCTGATCTCATCCGAGGAGTTTATCCCGAGCTTGCTACGAACTACATCGATCGCGATTGGTTACGCCAAAGGACAATATTGGCTCCGAAAAATGATGACGTCCAGGAGATCAACTCGAGTCTTCTGGCTCAGATTCCTGGGGAGTTCTTCGAATACAAATCCATCGACTGTACCCTCGAGATTGATGATGCTGTGCACTATCCAACTGAATTCTTGAATTCACAAACGCCGCCAGGTTTTCCGCCCCACCTATTGCGTTTAAAGATTGGTTGTCCTATCATGCTGCTTCGAAACCTCCAACCACCGAATTTGTGTAATGGAACACGGCTTTGCGTGACAGCTCTTCACAATCACTCAATCAGAGCAGAGATCTTGACCGGTATCGGAAGAGGGCAGATCGTTCCAATTCCTCGAATACCGATGATACCTTCAGACTCACCATATCAATTCAAGCGACTTCAGATACCGGTACGCGCCGCATTTGCTATGACGATAAACAAATCTCAGGGTCAATCCATTCAATATTGTGGAGTAAGCTTGCAATCCCAATGTTTCTCGCATGGTCAACTATACGTTGCGTTTTCGAGGGTCGGATCTCCGGACAATCTTTTTGTTCTCGCTCCGGGCGCTGAAACCCGAAATATTGTTTATCCAGAAGTATTGTCTTCTCTCAATAAATGAGAGTGACGTGAATATCAATGATGCCGACTCTGACACATCATTCCCCCCTTGACAACTCTGTGCGAATCCACGCGACCACAAAAATGTCATTTTTAGAATATTTCCTCTCTTATTCGACTCAGGATAGAAAATTCTGAAGGACACGTCATCCGTCTCCCCTCATGTCCAGCCCCGAAGCCGGTATATATAGGAGTGATATTCTGTCTTCAATCGCTTTAGATCAAGAACGACGAGATCGGATTCCATTTTGTGTCGACCGCTTTCAATCACTGAGTAATAGTGAAGCTTCTCTGAGCCATGGATGCTCTCATCGAAAAAGACCAAGATGAAGAAATGATCAAGCCCTCCACGGCACAAGACGACGGTCATGAGAAGGTTCAAGGGGCCAATGGTGCCGGCGACATTGAAGATCGTAGCTCTCCTCCATCCACACAAGAAAACTTGATTCCCTCGCATCGAACCCACCAGTCGGCTCCTCTGTTCGTACGCAAGAGGCAACCCCCAAAGCATGTTACCTCGCGACCGTATGGCCAACCTATCATCATCTACCTCTGGAGTCCCTCAAACCGAGTATGGTCAACTTCTGAGAAGCAAGACGCGATGAACTGCCATGCCTAACATACTGTCAATCACCTCAACTCGCGTCCTCGTGGTACCCTTCAGGAATCAGGCGCGAACGAGACTGGTCAAGTTGCACGACGAACCATGTGACGATCCTGAACCCATCCAGAAGCGTTTGACTATCTTGATCATCAGCCAGACAGTTAAACGACGCCGAACTATAAGTTTGACCAACTTCGACCGGCATCTACGACAACAGATAGGTAACTGCGGAAAGTGCTACATTTGTACTTCTCCCCAAGACCTGGGAGCATTGGAGACGGAATATGTTTTTTCCAAAAAGCTCATGGACTTTGAGCTTGACGTCGCTTATGCCGACTAATTCCTAACGAACCAGGCGTCAGGGTCATTCAGACCCTACGATCGAATCGTTTTTCCTCCTTTCCGGTCTCACCGAATAATATATAATATTTTCCTCAAGTCGTGCCTGTTCATGCTTTCTTTTGGTCATTTCCTAGAATAATCTTTCAGAACCATAAATAATAAGCCATACATATTCTATATCGAGACGACACTCGCGGCGGTCTCTTGATGATCCCGTAGCGAAGCACGGGTAGTAAGCGCTAGTCATCAAATAGTTCTCATCAGACCGAGAGAGAATCGAAATAGACCCGGAGGAACCGAATCAGAACTCGATTTATCGGGTAGAAAAGGCGTCCATCTGACGACAGGTCGACTGAGAATCTTGGGGGGGGGGGCATGGCCCCCTGGGCCCCCCCCATGCACGCCACATGCTAGGACTCAAGTCAATGTCTGAATTGATTCTCCGTGCACTCTTCAGCTTGGCAATGGCACCGCAGAGAATAAGTGAGGGCCTTCCTTTTGGTGATCGACATCCGAAGCTAGAGAGATACAGGAATAGAGGGGTGGCGATACTCAATCTGCCAAACATAATTTCCAGGCGTGAATACATCTCGTAGAGAATTCTTCAAGTTCTGCTTCCAGTAATAGCGACCTCTAATACCGAGAAAGGTCCTGCGTTCTACGTCTCGTCGACATCAAGCATCCTTCTCTTCGTTTCGACTCTATAAGGTGTTTGCACCGCACACGGTTCCTCGAACCTTGGGCGCATCATGAAGAATACAGTAGAGGAGATCAGTTCAGCGAACATCTTGCGAAGTTCTCGACATGGCTCTGACTCCAGGTTGGATAGTCATCGCTCCTGATCTATCAGATAGAGGATAGAGGATTTGACCGAGCGCAGCAGCTGGTTCTCGTCGGAAAGGATCAATTTGAAGAAGACTATCCACAATGTGGAGAGCGTCCTGTTTGAACACAAAATATAGTATGCGACTCTTATCGATCGAGTCAAAGACCTCGAGGAACGAAACATTGACTGACTTGCTCAATGTGATATTGTGATGATATTTATCTGCGTCTCGAGCTCGAGAAGACAGACCCGGCTCATCTAATCGTAAGAGTCGCTCATATTTTCGTGAGCCTCGACGGTCCACTTAGAGGAGAAAAAACTCGTCCAAAGTTTCTCGGAGGAAGTGCGCTCGTATTCGGAGCACGTGGGTCACAACCCGAGAAGGTTGTGTGGCGCGCGAAGGCAAAGGGCTGGGAAACGGATCTTTCGGGATACGCGCAATCCCAGACCCGCCCCAAAAAAACGGCCACGTGTCTGCTGTTGTGACAGCCGGGATCGGTGGATGCGCATCGAACACAACTTATGCTAAGTAAGCTTCAGGATCAGCTGCTACGGGCATCCAGCTGATCGGAGAGGATCGCGGCGTCCGTTTCGCTTTGCAATGAATTCGAATCTCAGAGTGAGTAGCGACCGTGGCCACAGCATACTAAGTCGTTGGAGCTCAAGATTGCCACTAAGGTGGTGAACAATTACGCTTCCGGCTCGAGCCTTCGATCCTGAGCGGCGACTTCATCGCTCCAGTCCGTATGAATTGTGACCGATTGGAGAGAAGGGCAATCTTAAAGCCTCTCCCGATAGTTGTCAGGATAAGCTACCTCGGAAAGTCACGTGGAAGCATGTCCGTTCACCCGGAACTTATTGATTGGAGACCCGGTGGCTCTATTCCACGAATTGAGTCAGAGAATTTCGTTGATTTTTTCTTGAGAGAGTATCATCAAGCAACCTGAGCGGTGAAAGTGGAAATTGAAGCCCCTACTCTCGAGTGAGGCTCATATGATCTTTGCTTATCTTTGATCAGAAACCTCCTCTCCTTGTGGCTGGGCTCGAGGTATAAAATCTCGGTCTACAAGCAAGCAATCAATCCGCGTTTCAGGTCGTTTTGTGAAATTCTTCGGGACGCTCCGCGAGAGTCCGGATCTCTCAGTCAGTCTCTCGAAAATGCTATCGCGATCAATGAATTTGCCGGCGGTCATCCAAGAAGCGCTCGGTGTCGGAACATCGGCTCCAACTCCGGCAGTGGTTCCGAGCGACTTCAACTACCGGAGTTTGAACGCCGGCCTCCCTTTACTCCTAGCCACAACGGATTGCATGGAGGATCTGTACAACCGGACCAGCCTCAATGGAACAAAAATCAAATTTTGTGACGGACACATCGCTGAACTCTACGCGAACATGGAGAACAAGACGATGTCCCTGGCCAACCTCAATATGAATTTGGGCTCCATGAGAGAGATTTCGACCCAGTTGGAGAAAACCTGGACCCTCATGAAATCTGTGAAACGCACACTACAGGAATGCGACGCGGCCTTGCTCATCATGGAGGATACGATGGAGATGGTGAAGTCCAGACGATGCCAGCTTGAAGTCCAACAGATCAAAGACCGCATGCTTAAGGAGGAGAGGCAGAGGATTTTCGAAGAACAATTCAAGAACGACCTGGAAAGATTCAAGGAGTCAGGCCAGCTCGAGACACCGGTCTCCCATTCCGTGTCACCAGTGAATGATCTTTCAGAGATCAGTCTCGATCAGAACGAGGAAGAATTGCACGCGTTTAATCAATTCTTGGAATCGAGTGGCGAGCATTCGATCGAGGAGGATGATCAAGATTTGAGTAAATGTCATGATCTTTGATTCACAACTCATAGCGATGTAAGATATGCTGGAATATAAGTTCAAAGATATAAGGGGCATGAGTTGATATCCCTCGATTATCTTAAGATTAGAATGGGGCAAGATCGGACATGAAGCCTGAACATTTGATATGAGTCATTTGAGCCTGGCATCTATCATCCGTCCCTCTTGCGCGAAATGTGAGAATAGATCCGAGTATCATTCCCCGGACTACCCCGTCGCCGCAGTTGGAGAATGGTTCTCGTCTCGAAGCACATATGTCTCCGGTCCCTAGGCTGTTTCACATGGCACTATTCAGCTAGCTTGAAATAACTTCGCCGTTGAAGTATGACGCATCACATGGCACATGGCACTCTTTCACATGGCACTATTCAGCTAACTTGAAATAACTTCGCCGTTGAAGTATGACGCATCGCAAGGCCTTCCGAAAGTGGTCACAAAGCCGCCTGAATCCTCTCTCAGATTCATGTATGGATGAATCAATTCATCTATATGAAAAATTCTTCTGGACGAGCAGATTACTCCCGGGGCAATGGATACTGAAACCCGTAAACAATGGCCGGCACGTGTCCCCAGCATCATTGGGTAACCTGAAACGGGGACCATTCCGACGCCATAGCGCGAGTAGGGTAGGAGGGAATATGCACCGAGTTTTCGATGAGTGTCACAGGGGTAGTTAACCGGAAGACTGCCTTTAGAGAGCGGGGACACGGGGCGACCGCTTACGACAGGGACTAGGCCGAATGAGCAACAATAGTCACCGGCGGGGAATCCCGGGAGCCCCTCAGCTGACGCTTCATCACTTCGCTATAAAATGATTGCATAATACGCGATGGAAATACACCGCTCAGATGCACCAATTCGAATGCAGGAAACCCGAACTGCACATAGCCTCCCGCTTACACTGCCGGATCTGTAGGGCCAATGCATGGAATTCTCGTGGATCGATCCTGAGGGCAGGGATTTGGCCTCGCTTATCAACTTATCAAGAGAGATTTTTATACGAGGACGATGAGAATTCGAAGTTCGGCAGATCAGGCCTTGTCACAGAAGTGAGACCGAGGATCTTAGGAGAGCGAGTAGAAAATGATTCGAAGGGATCCAATGAGCCAGATCAGCTCAATGGTTGCCGCCGACGATGGGTCTTCCGGGAATCGGCTTTGATTACGACGAGAGAAGATTGTTGGCCTCCCTTTGGATTAAAAGAATTTAGGGGTGAGCATATATTTGCCGACTTGAGCAAAGGTGATTCCTGACCGAAGATTCCACGCATTGGTACACCGGTGCCTGACATGCTGTCCAAGGTGGCCGGCTCTCGGAAGAGTCCCTTGAATGTCGGAGCCCGAGCGTGGAGTCTCGCGAATCGGGGATCAGGATCGCTCAGAAGACCCTCCGATGTTCTTCTCGATGGAGGGTGGAGGGCACATGCTGATATCGCCTGAATCCCGCTCAATAGATTGACCCGATGACGAAACCCATCATGATCTGGAAAACCTATCCGAGTGAGGTCCCAAACTGAAATCGATCGGAGGTCCGAAATCGGTAGGGAGTTCCTTATGCAGAGACTTGTTTATGGAATCTCATCCAGCACGATTTGTAATCTTATAGACTCGAGGTCGGGAATATCCGCTCCAAAAAGACCTAGCTGCTCCGAGCGGTGCCCATTGTCTTCTCTCGGAGTGCGATGTCAATCAAGTTCACTCCTTTTCATTGTGTGGAGGAGTGCACCTCCGACGGAGGTCTGCACTTCACAGCTTGGCCATTACTACGAGTGGTCCTCATTCGACAAGTGGTGGATCGTGTATCGAGGACCTCTAGAGTCTAGACGACAGGAGCTTGAGAGCTGCACCTGACGGGCTCACATCACGCCTCGCATCCTCGTACGGATGAGTTCCGGACGAAAAGACTGGGAGATCCCGTCAAGGGTCAATATGGGACTCGAATCGCGATGCTTCCCGCAATTTTATCCTCATTCGCACAAAGATGTTTGCAGACATCGTTGCGGGGATAAAGGGAAAATTCGGATCACCTGCATTTCTCAATCCGTGTCAGAGATCAGAATCATCTGAGCTGTTTCTCAGCGTGCGAACTCGATACGTAGAACGAGAGCGAAGTTTCGCCGCGGAACTAAGCGAAGCGAGAGCATTTGTCACTGCGTTTCCCCCTTCACTCTCAAAACCCGTCCGGGGGCACGCAGGGACTGGGAGCTCTCGGGCCGAACCCCCGTCATGCCTGTGATCATGGTATCATCATATCGTTAGACCTGGGAGCGACCCTCGCGCGAGTGTAAGAGCTCTCCATTCAATTCGGGGAGCTCGAAAATTTCAGGGCCTCGGATTCCGTCCGCTCATTTAGGCTCAGCTCCTTTGCAGCATTCGGAAGTCTGGTAGGCGTCATTATGGTTGGGAAATGATTTCCTTGTCCGAGTACATCTATAGTTTTCTACGAACCGCAAATCGAGGTGTTGAAGACTCGTGCGTTGTTTTCGGGGACCCAGCTTCTTGAACGAGATCTGGCCCCTTCTCCTCGATCGAGTGTCCCAGGCTCATGATCTCGCCTGAGGAACGGGATATCATTCCGGTGAAGCGACGGCAAAGGAAGCATGAGCTTCCTGGAAAAGAAGTTATTCGCAATAGTGATCATCAGAAGTCTTCGTCCGGATGCGAGAATTCGGACAGACTTCTCACAGCAGACTCGCCAGGAAATTGTGCTCGCCTTAGATGCCGCGCCGGTGAATGCCCGCTCCGAATGAATGCCTGTGTAAATCTAGTTCAACTCAAGGATACCGTGAAGGATTTCGGATCCGCTAGAATCGCTCGATAATTCGGAGAGGGCATTGTCTCCGAGGTTGCCCGACGGGACGCGATAGTCGACTTGAATGTGAATCTTTTCGTGTACACGGTGATGTGTGGGTGTGATAAACTGAGTCCGCGAGTTTATCTTCTCTGATAACAGGGCTCCTGCGCACATGCATAGGGTCCCGGAGAGAAGGTTTTAGAAGGGCTGTTGCACATTTTCTTGGCTCAGAATGGCCGAATGGAATAAAGTAATAAAGCCATGAATGGGATCGAAGCGGCCATGAATGGGATCGAAGCGGCCGGGGCCTCTCTGAACGGAATATCGATCATCGGATTCGGGTTATTCGCTCCTATGGTATCGCCTGCTTCGAGATCATGGCGATTTGATGTGACGGATTATCGATTCGCACTTGTTTCTCCCGAGCTCAACAACTCGAGGTCTCCGCTTTGCTATCCGCCGCGGAACGGCGCAGGCTCGCGAATGAAGCTCTCTGGCCCTTCTCTCAATCAATGCAGTTCTATCAAGATCCCCGTGAACAGACAATCAAGAAAGTAGTTCTTCGGCTGCCCACCAGAGAGCGGGCCTCTTTATTTGGCTGTGTGACATGTGAGAATTTTACGACCTGATGAGTGACTCATATGATTTATTGAACGATATTTCATATTTTTTCATTATTACGATAATGGAATGGGCGCGATCGAATGGAATCTTGATGCTCGCAGCGGATCGCCGTGAGCGGTATAGCTTTCGACACTTCTCGAGGCTTCGCATCATGGGAAGTCTCCGAGGAATCGGTGCCGACCGCCTGAAATCGCAGTGGATACCCGCGGGTTTTCATGAGAGTTGCGGATGTTTGTGGAGCCCAATCGGGTCTGACTTCGGTACACGGTACCTTCTTGAGCGGTTGCTCGGAAAGCGATCCCATGTTTCCGGGCCGAAACGAATGAAGCAGCCAGCTACATGTATCGGCTCAGCTCGCGTGATCGACCGCATCAGGAGGAAATGCCGTTTTCTCTGGGAAGCAGGATTTCATGATCGAAAGGACGGACTCGTTTGCGAAACCTCTTGAGTCTGGCAGATTGCTTTCGCAAGAAGAAATCAGTTGAGCTCGGTAGAGCGAGGAGTGCCACGCGCTGGGTGAAGAAGAATGTTTTGCCATATAGAATCAATTTCAGAGCATTTCCTCGTGGCGACAGAAGCTCCCCGGCAGGTCCGAGGGTTGTTGCGGACTTTTCTTCGAGCAGACGGAAGAGCGACTAGGTTGGATAGATGACTTCGTCCGCGGAGGCATCTTCACAGAGCGCCGAGCGACCGCCAACACCATCGGTGGCTGGCACGCTGGCAGTTGTCCTTTTGTCTGTTGTTCTAACTTTGCTCCGTCTTCCCTTGCATCCGGAGTAGTGGCTGGTTGGCTTTTTCTCTGAGCAGAAAAAACCGATATATCGGTAAGCGATTTAGGATCTCTAAGACGAAAGCGTCTAGCGGGGTTCGGGCCGCACTATCCGCCGGAGGAACGATCCTCTTTTCTGAACCGGTTGGAAGCCGGTCTCCGTCAGGCCCACCTCATGACTCGTGAACGGGCGGTGAGACAAAAATTCCAATCCGCGGAATTCGTCTTCACGGGCTTCGGACATCAACTGTGGGAGACACTCGTCGGAGTCAGGAACGCGGTTATCGGCTCTAGCGCAATAAACTCATACGCGATCACAGAATGTGGGAAGTGGAATGCTGGCGGAGACTTAGAATGAAAAGGTTTCATGGGTATCCCATCGGGCGATTCGTCGACAAAACCTCCGTAGCATCCTTGAGGAATCCTTCCGGCTCCCGCACACGTTTCCCCTCCTCCAATCCGCCGAGTCGCGCATCAATCGCATTATTCGGAAGGTTCAGACGCAATACAGTCCTCGAAACTGGAAGGAGCTGCGGCTCTCTTCGGCAAGGCTGTCGGTGTGACCTCAAGAGAACGGTTGTGCGACACCTACTGCGTCACCGGCGTGTGTGAGCTCCACCGACCCACAGTCACGGGAACCGGCGTTCTTGTTAAAGTAACAGATGGGGAGGCACGGGCGATATATGTATGCGTCTCGTCGCCGAACTACAGGGTCCTTTATATTCGTTGTTTTGGAGTCGCACAACTTGTTAGCAGGAGGGTCGCTCGTATCTCGGAAAGGCGTCCGGAAACTTTTCTGCTTGGCTCCGAG